AGAATTCTGCAAGCGACAACACCGTGAGAAACGGTAAAGCAGTCTGTTGTCGCTTGCAGAATTCTTATACTTTTTCTTCTACCCTGAAGATGGGGGCGATACGTTCCTCCGAAACGTCGGTTAACACCACATATACACGGTGCCAAATCCCAGAAGACTGCTTTCTTCATAGTCACCGCCGTGAAAGCCCCAAATCTTAAACAATTCGTGTTGCTTAAGACCTCACCATTCAGTTTATTAGCTTGAGACTCCTGCTGTCTCATATATACCTTATTACCAACCCCCTCCCCCTTCGGGATATGTGTTTATTAGTTGCATTTTCATACTTTATTTTTCTGTACACTTCATCAGAATTATTTGTCTGCTTGGTCTTCATAGTCTTTTTCAGATGGGACCTTTATGCTCGTGTACGAAAGATACGCATCCTGTTGTCATGCCATGTTGCTTCTTTCATTTTATATTTAATCTGCTGCTTGTAACACGCTGGTGATGATAATTACAGTTGAGTGTTTGATCCAAACCAAATTATGTTCGCTCTCTTCTCTTTCTGTATATAGCAGGTTTTCATAGTACCTGAACAACAAAGCGATTGCACGGAAAACAAATAATTAGTTATGCGTCAAAGTCGCATGATTTGTGTTTTGATCGCAAGAGTGGACCGGCAGTTTCAGTTCTAGTTTCAAACAGTTGGCTGTTCTCACATTTCTAAGTTTCAGTTTGTTTTATGTGTAGTCCTCGCCAGGATAACTTATTTAATGTAAACTGAACTCAACAGTTTTTTAATAACAGCCCACGGCATCAATTTAGATTAATTTGTGTACCCAGGGAACTGCTATGGAAGTCTCATTATGTGATTCATTTTTCATTTCATGGGGTGAAACAGCGTTTTAGTATATGGTTCATAGGTGTTACATGAACACCTTTACCGTGATTTATATTTTTTCTCGACTTACTACTACGCAAAAAAAAAAATATATATATTTGTCACGTGCGTGTAATCATTGCATGATTTAGGTAGCCTAGAATGGCGGTGTGCCGGTCACGCTAGCCGAGCGGTCTAAGTCATGCACTGTCTTCGCTCGCTCGGAAGCTGGGGTCGTGGATTCGAATCCCACTCAGGGCATGGATATTTAGTATTTGTGTGTGTGCAGGTAGAGGCCTTGCGATGATCTGATCAGCCGCCCAAGGAGTCCTATCGAATGTCTTTAAGATCTAGTAAACCGAAGTGAAACGGAGAGTTTAATGGAGGTAGGTCAAGGCCCAAGTTGGGACTGTAGCGCCAAAGAAGAAAGAAAGAAAGAAAGAAAGAAAGAAAAAAAGGAATGGCGGTGTTAGGCGGGATACACACCAGAACAACTTGTGACAAGCAGCAGGCGGTATGCAATGTTGTGTCGCCTTTATATTCATACTAAGGATCTCAAAATGCCTGATGGTTTGTGAACAGGTTGTGGTCATTGCCCATGGCGTTTTTCGGTAAATGCCAAGTCTCAAAAGAGATGTTAGCCACCTTTGGGTGGGCTCATTTTATATTAATAATTAAAATCGGTAAGTCTGTCCCATTCTTCTAGAAAAGACATTCCGTCTTAAGTACTCAGGAATGGAATCGCCGTAGAGGCATCGGTAATTTCCTAAAATTTGGAAAAAATTATAATTTATTTGTTTTCCCAACTCATGATTTGCAGCGGTGCCCACGCACGTGGTTACGCAAGATGATTCAAGTGGGATGGCACGGCGAGAACGCTACGATATCACAGTCGGAACGATGTGAACGGCGTCATTGAAATTCACTCAGTTCTAAAAGCGATATTGTGGTTATCGGTAGATGCGAGTTGCCTGTTGCATGATGCAGAGTGCTTTGGTGTGAATCACACCCCAGAGGAATATGGCGGTCCACTCAAGACTTCCTGTAGTCACGTTCATATATTCGAGTGTTCGTTGTTTGCTTTTTATGTCCAATGTATCAAAGTATCTCTTAGCTTCGTTGTCCAATACAATACAGATGGTGCTGCTGGCCAGCAGATCGTGGAATTGGGAGGGAGGAGAACACCACCAAACGATGGCTGATACGGAAAGAACTCATTTCTTTCTTGTTCTGTCCCTTGCCCTTTATAGCCTTCTTCTTACCCTCTCCTTTTTCTGTGACATAGCCCAGGCTCACAGATATTTTGCGTCGAATGTACCTACGTTTCTTTCTTGTTCTCTGCCGAGTATTACGTAAAGAAAGACTCGATCTCAGATTTTTGTATGTCGCCGCTTTTCATTTAGAAGTCCGCGCTAAGAGGCTGCTGAGAATGATGATGTTCGAGTAGCGAAAGGGAAGGTTACAGTGATGGAGGTTATTGAATTCATTTGGTGAGCACACCGATGCTGGTGTTACTCAGATGTCAAGAGTGCACGGAAAAATAATGTAGTAGTTATGTGCTTTTATTATGAGTAGGAGTCTGACGATTCTGCACAAAATTATTGCTTCAAGTTGTTTCCATTGTAATGACAACCAGATTTCATGGTGTGAAAGATGGCAGTATCAAATAAAATGTAGCTTGTTATAATCATATACCAGAAGTTGGCCAGGTTAGATCACACATAGATAAGTAGTGTTTCCAGCATTCTATCCAATCTGAACGCTAGCCTTTACTTCACTTGTATCACTCTCTGAGGAGACTGGTGACAGATTTATGGCGGTTTAATATTTCCAGTAAACAGGAAACACTACTGATATTCCTGTGCTGTCTACTTTTTGGTGGGATATTTTTCAAATAAAGAACCCATTATTGTGCACACTAAAAATTCACTCTCAGTGTGTGCATATTTGAGGGTGGGTAGGTGTGAGTCTTGATCGGTTCAAGAAAGGCATCCTGACTTAGGTTTGAAGTATCCTTAAAATCTGATTCTGTATGCTCCATATTGTAATCAGACCTAGCAGACATGATTATAAAACATACTCTCTGCAAATCCCTACAATGTTTTGAATAGATGGAAAATTAGTTCAGTAATGAATTAAATGGAAAGATAATGATTCCATTGTCAAAGGAAGATTTTCATGGCAGTGGAAGGAATTCATGGTTGAATCTGTTTATCATAAAGGACAATAAAATTGACTAATATCAGGGAATACACGTATCAGACTTTTCATTGCTACAGCAGTGAAGAGAATCTGTTGTCGTGTTATTTGTGATATGAGCAGTCGTTTCTAAATGTCCAGAATTTTTCTCTCATGCTCAACTGCATGCATATAAATTATTTGGGATTATCAGAGTGGTTCCCAGTATGAAAGATAACATGCTGGTCAAATATTCTGCATCTGATAGGAATTGGAGAAAGGAAAAGGGGTAATGGAGAACATTAGATCAGTTATAAGATATAGATTTCAAGGAAGCACAAACTCTAAATAAATATTTGTTTGAACCATTTTCTGTTCAGAATGGTCTGACAGGCCTTATCTGTTAAAAACTGTCTAACTTTGCCAGAACAGGAGGTATGCAAATTGAATGGAAAACATTCAGCTTCTGGCCTGTGTGGATGATGATGTTGGGTAAATAAGTACCATCAGGAAATGCACAAACTAGATATCAAATGCTAGTGGGGTACTGGTCTGTGTGCATGTCTTATCGCAACCGTGTAGGACAAGGTCGTAATTTTAAAGAGATAATAAATCCTTAAGGCATGAAACAATATATACTCATACATTGTCGAGTGACAGTAACATAGAAGGAGGTTAAGAGGAGATTAAATTTGAAGCATGTTTTATGCTGATGTGAAACTCGAATTTGTCAACCTGTGGAAGGAACATAGTTAGTTAGTTATTGGAGAGGGTGGGTTTCCGCATGCACTGAGACCTGTATTGGTCCATTGTGCTTCCCTCTTATGATTTCTACCAGTCTCTATATCCTACCGGTACTGGTGCTTAACATCAGTCCCGCCTAGCCAGCGAGACCGGCTCTACTAGCTGAGAGGTATCTATAATGCTTCCCCGATCTACCAGAGGTATTAGAGACTGCTGTTGGACGGGAAACGTCCGTTAATTTGGCTCAGTGACCTCCTTTGGAGATATGAGGTTCTTTTACGTGCTGTAAAGCTATGACACGGGACCCACGGCTTAAAGTCCCTCCCGGAGGACTTATTCCCTGAATTTTTCCGCCCTTAAAAATTCGACGACCTCCACCGGGTATTTGAACCCGCATACTACGAGTCATGAGGTGGGAACGTTACCTCTAGACTACGGAGGCCGCTGTGGAAGGAACATAATTTGAGCGTGTGTGGGCACAAAGTGCTGAGGAGTCTAATCGACCCAAGAGAGAGGAAGTGACGGAGAAAACAAATAATGGGCAGCTTTGTAATTTATGCACTTCACAGAATATTATTAAGGCGATCACATGAAAGGGAATGGGATGCGTGGAATTTGTAACACTCGCAGGAAGGTAAGAGAAGTGTGCGGGAATGAAATGCTTTTGTTGCCAACTTGAAGGGAGACCTTGGCATCATTGTTAGGAAGTAATGGATCTTGCAGAAAAGGGGAATGAATGTGTACTTGATCCAGCTGGCCTAAGATCAGGGCTGTCATTGGACCAGGGTAGCACCCTCATTTCCTTTTTAGTGTCTGATGGCTGCCAGGGTATTTCTTTTAAGGACATGTATGTCAGATATAGTTGGTGTAGCCTAAGGACCAGGAGGTAGGTACTGGGGAGAAATATGAGCTAAGTAGTAGAGGAAAGTGCTGATAGAGAACCACTTTCACATCCTTCAGAATTTACTTGCCCATGCAGTGTTATATGACCAGTGCAGCTGGTAGCGAAGTAAAATAGGAAACTCTCTTTTCAGCAAATACCATTCAGTTTGCAGAAAGCATGTGTCAGTTTTTGAGTGAGCTGGACTAAATATGCAGTTCCCTATTTGGAAACCTCGTCAGTTCAGTCACTGTGGTTTCATCATTGTTGTCATACTACACTTTGAATACATACAGCCTAAAGGAACTGATGATATTTGCTTAATGTTTGTTCCAGTCACTGGATGGACAGAACATTTACAATTCATGTTGCACACTGCGCATTGAGTACTCAAAGTTGACCAGCCTGAATGTGAAGTACAACAACGACAAGAGCCGTGACTACACAAATCCAAATCTGCCTACGGGTGACCCAGGCCTGGATGCCACCCTGGCTGGGCTAGGGGCCGGTGAGTTGATCCCGCAGCTGTTGATAGCTGGGGGCGGCGGGGGGCGACACAGAGGCCTCGCACAGGAACCAGGTCCTGCGCCCGGAAGATTAGCTCCACCAGGTAGCGTTGTTAGCAAACAGTTAACATGAATTTTGGTAGGGTGGAGCCTGTTCCTGTTGATAACTTGACTGACTGACGTGACGAAGCAGATTTGCACGAACAGTCCCTGTCACACATACACTTCTTCACTTGTTGAGTATGTCTTGGAAAATTGGCTAGATTAATAGATCAGAGGGGCTGTTGTTGATTGAACCTGGAACCACACCTTCTTCGATCCATTGGACATTTGCTCCTTGCTAAGAGCAGTACAGTTGACAGTGGTGCTGGTAGGGTTGCTGGTGGTGATGGTGATAGTGCTGAAGCATGTTGTTTTGAAAGGTTTAGCTTCCTGTCGTTTCTTCATTATGTTTTGACAGTATATTGTTGCTCTTATCTATATACCCCTAGTGTGCTACAAACTTCTTTCCGTGCAGCATGTATGCCTAATGCAGTAAAACTGTGTTCTGGACCGTTTAGGGATTCGTTTTTCTGGTCATATAAGGACTGTCAGTCTTGCAGTAATTTTCATCTTAGACCACTTTTATAGATTGTATGATGCAATATGATATAGCCCAAAAGAAAACAGCACCTCTGTGGAATTCAGTGTGCATGGCTGTTGTTGGGATAATTGGCTGTAATGGCTGTACCTGGAAAGGCTTGTTGTTTTTGTCATAGAACTTCTAAACTATTCATATTACAAAGGCAGCAGTGAAGTATTCTGCAGCAGGTTTTCCAAGTGTGCCTTATTTCAGGATCAACTGAATTTTTTGTTTTTCTCAGTCAAAATGTTACACCACCTGATGCTGGCCTATGCTTCTAGGCTTTATGTTTGGTGGCCCTATATGAATTGCACAGAAAATCACATTGCACTGTTACAAAGATGTTTCCCTAAACTCAACTAATGACTTATAGTATGTCTTTAATGTGGTGTTATATCCCATGCCTTAAATTCTCTGACATTTCATAGTGGAGAAATGATTTACTGAGGCAGTGTAATAGGGCTGGTTTATATTTTGGTCTGCTTTATAGTGTGCCATTCTACAGACCTTGCATTAATTTTATGTTACATTATTTTTAATTTCCAGTAATCAAACCACTTACGACAAGCCCAGCCCACATTTTATGCAAGAATTGCCAGGCTGTTTCATGAAACCTGAATAAGGCATACAGTAAATACTTATTCATTGTTATGGTTTGTTTAATAATGCTGTCAGGAGCTCAGACTGTATGTCGTTGAATGGTCTGATGATTATTCATAATAAATTGGAAGGAATGTGAAAGGAAGTAGCCAATGCCTCATTTGAGGTTCTTTCCCAGATTTACCTGCCTTACTCTAAGCATTGGTCATATTTGATCATGATAAGGTTAGCAAGATGCTTCTAATCCGTCGGCAAGGGAATCGATTGTTTGATATTATTCAGTACTGTGCACACTAATGTACATAGCTAGAGCATATGCTTGTAAGGATGTGTTCTGAGTAAAAAAGAATGATGCCTTTCAGTGCTGATAATGAATGTATTCTCCCCTGAATGAGTAATCTAGATTTAGGCCTACCTAGAATGCTTATTGTTTAACCTGGTGCTGGTGAGGTGGGAAAATGTAGCACATGTGGTAAGGTGCTGTCCCAGAGACCCCAGACATTCCGTTGACTACATCAACCCCACCCTTTGTTTGGTTGTAAAACAGAATTATTTCCAGCTTAGATGTTCTCTCATCTACATTATCATCATAATGTAATGTGGAAATAATCATATTTTTTTGGCACAATTGAAACTGTGGTGATACTGGGTTGGAAACCTAAAATGGTAGTCTTCGCTTGGTATTCATGAACTCAGGTGACAGTTCTCTTTTATTTTTCTTGATTGTTCACACCATAGTTAGCCTATAATCTTCTTACAAGGATTTAGCCAATGGGTAACTTTTGAACCAATTATCTAGAGTCACATTGTGACGTCCAGATATAGATGCAATCATCCTTGTAACAACTTCAAAGGGGGGCTTGAATCTTTGTATGCGCCTTCAGATTGTGCGCTAACGCAAACTTCCAATTTAGAAGTATAAAAGGACTTGGCATCAACCGAAGCAAATACTTTCAGGCCATTCTTTGCCGGTTTGCTTGAAATGTACTTCCGGAAACTGCATTGGCCACGAAACGCTTCTAACTTTTCATCAATCGTTACGTTTTCTCCTAAAGAATATACAGACTCACAACGTCGAATTTATCAAAAATTTCTCTGATTGGAGCCCATTTGTCGTAAGATCTTCGTTCACTTCTAGTACTTAAGTCATCAAATTGCATACATCTAAGAAGAAAATGGAAACGAACACGTGATGTGCTTCTAAATGATTTAACACCAGTACCGTCCATGGTCCATAGATCATCCAGATTCTGGTGACTAGGCATATAAAAACAAGCTAAATATAAAAGTTCAAACATAGACTTTACTTTACTCATGTCAGTCTCTTGGACACTATTATTTTTGGTGTAATTTACTTGCTCTCTTTCTATTTCCTCATTCGTATTCCTCAAAATTAGGTCTGTTATGTCATCAGGAAAAAATATATCTCCCACCAATCTAAAATTGATTATGTATCTTTTTGCATTGCCCAGAACACCAGGGGCTTGGCTAACTATGTTATGTGCTTCAGTTCTTATTTGAGAATCTAACTTGTTTTTACTCCACTTGTCTGTCAAAGTATCATCTATAAGTTGACATAACATTCTTCCTGCTTGTAACTCATCTGTTAAAAAAAAGGTATTATTCTCAAAATACCCTCTAAGTATTTACAAAACCATATTTGCTTATAGTTGGTATGTAGAAATATAGAAGACAGCAGTAACGATAATATTTTAGTAGAATATACTTGAAAACAACCAAAGTTTCGGAAGTAAATATAGTCACACTTTTGGTAAGGTGGGGTCTGGTGGACCCCAGCACACTTTACATGTCTGCACACTAAATTTACCAACACGCAATAGTCTGTCAATGGTGTCGAGTAGTGGGTTATGGGAGGGGAAGCTACACAGGCAGGACTCACTGCCCCACGTTCTTAAGAAGTTATAGTCAAATTAAAATCGTTGGGGCCTGTGAAACCCCATCTTACTAATGCCGGGTTAGGGGAACGCCCAGACATCCTTTGACATAAAAGTGTGCAATGCTTATTCACCTGTTCTGAGTGTAGTGTCATTTTCGTTTTGCGTGTCTTACATGAACACCATAATTTAGAGCTGTGGCACATGCTGCAAATGCATAAACAGATCACTATAGTTACCACTTTATTACTAAGAAGTCTGTTAAAATAATGAATCTATGAATGTGAAGTAGAGAGCATTTTACCCTCATTTAAAACAGGAATTGAAGGAAATTTATCATAGTAAATGACACAAAATGATTTAACACACCTTTAGAGAAGATATTTGGAAGAACTTCAGAAGGGCTCCCCCTAAGACATGCAAAGTGTCAACAAATAAAGGTGCTTAGGATGACAACTGAAAAGGTGGAAAGCCCTAGCCTTGTTACATGCATAGCAGCAAAGCTTACACACATTACTGGGAATGATAGTGGTGATCAGCATGAGTTTTGTTTCTCATATTGTTGTGACGGAGCAAGTTGGCTGAAGTGGTGATATGTCTGACCTGTATTTAGGATGTGCCCAGTTCATATTTTGGGTGTCATACAGACAGTTCTGAGGTTTCTCATGGTTTTCCTCCATCTATCGGGGCACTTGCTGGGGTAGTACCCTAAATTAATCCATGAACACTTCCTTCTACTAAGTAACTAACTAACTAATTTCATGGAGATGAGCCCTTCTTGAGAAGGCGCCAGTCGTGCACCTACTCAAGAATTCCCAACATTTTATGGAACCTGAAGATTCATTGCCGTGTTCACAAGAGCCCTCCACTGGTCCCGACCCTGAGCTAGATCAAACCAGTACATGCCACCCCATCCTATCTCTTACCCATGTATATGTTGGTCTTCCTAGTGGTCTTTTCCCTTCTAGCTTTCTTAATATCCTCTAGAATCAAATTTTGATTTCATTTCCTTCCACATCCTTTCTTATTCATTCTTCACTTCCATGAATTCATTTGATGGAATTTTCTCTGAGCTACTGACAACTTTGTTAAGTAAACAACAAATAAATACTGTAACTGTATTATTATGCATTCATTAGACAAAATGCATGAGTCTCAGTGTATAGGACATTCTGCCTGTCTTCCTGCCTGCCTCCCAGCATGCAAATTTCAACTCTGAAGCTACCAAACAGATTGATAAGGTGTGTTGGGGTCTGTGCCAAAAAGTGTCATGAAATTAATTTTATTTCATATTGTTTTAGTTTAACCCCTCCTTTACATGAAACCCAAACAGACTTACCTTTTCTCTCTCCATTGTATAGAAGAGTGGTGCATGATGTGAAATATATAGATCTAACAAGGGTCTACAACCTTTACTTGAAGCAGTTTTCAAATTGGTGACTTTTTTGACAGAATGCAAGGTAAAATAATTTCTGAGTGTGTATCTGATGTCTGCAGTGTAATTAGTTTCACAAGAATAGATTTATATCAGGTATAAATTAACATCAGGGACAATGAAGTTTCCATAGTATGGATTTGGAAAGTATTTGCCCTCCATTGGAGTTCAGTTTTCACCTTTTATACTAAGAGAGCACATCAGATCATACCAAATTAGATAGTTGTCTGAATTTGGCTTCTTGACTCCTGAATGAATCATATGCATCTTCAGAGGTGTTCTGTTGTGTATTGTGTGATCATAAAATTGTTCTAGATATTCATGATGATGTTTTGGGTGTGCTTGTAGTGCACGTAGAGGAAATAAAATGTATCATATTTTTATGGTATAAAATTTTGCTAGTTTGAAGATAATTTCTGATTATAGAAATATAGAACGTTTAGTTCTTCGATTTCCCATTCATTTGATTGCCCACCTTCTTTCAGTATTTGTGCAGTTTTATATGTAAAATTTCATTTTGTTGTTGATTTAGCACAGAAATAGTAAACGAAT